TAACTTGACATTTAAACCTTGAAATTGTGCGTATTTATAACCTTTTCAAAATTACTCAATTTTTAGTTGGCTTCATCATTCAGTTTTCTATGTATACGTTGAAGATTCTGTGGAAAATCTACTTGTGTATATAAAATTTATACTTTTGCACTTTTGCTGCTTAGTTGCACAAATATATTTACATTTGTATGCATGTTTATATATGTAGATTCACAACTATTCATGCGCTGTTGTCCGCACTCTCTGCAAAAAGGTTAGCAATTTTGTAAACGATTTGCGAAAATAGTTACTTCATCCACTACGTACATACATATATGTACATATGTAAGTATGTAAATTTGTATATAACTAACAGCTAAGAACGAAGAATGATGATTGAAGAACGAATAACGAAGAATTGGCAAACATCTTTGGCTGCAAAGTGGGCTACTTAATTACAAAGAACGTGACGGTAGCATTAAACACAACTGGCTAACTATCTTAGCTGATGGCCAGCGTTGATTTGCTTCACCAACAATAATAAGTTAGATATTTTAGTTATTCGAATTTTGTTTATTAATAACAAGAAAGATCCGCCAATTGTTTTTTTTTGTTTGTTTTAATGGTCTGTCATATTCAATGTGCATTCGCAGTGGAAGGAAAGACAATCAGTTGATTAACTAAGTGGAATTCAATATCCAAGAAAAGAAGGGTCCCAGGAAGAGAATTGGTCGCGAAATTTATAGAAAGACAAAATTTCTAGGAAATATGTATATACGTTAGGGTGATCCAGAATATAAGGTGCAATTTTTCCTCAGAACAGAACAAATATGTATTTCTATGAACATTCTTATCAAATGGGAAAGGGAGCCTTTACTTTAGTTCATTTTGTTACTAAAAAATTTTACTAATGTTTTTGTTGGACGATAAAATTTACGTTATTTACGCTATTTATCAGCTATGTATGTAAGTATGTATGTTAGGTGCAATATACAAACCATTTTAGTTGGTAGTTAGGCCTATAAAGGTTAGACCTTCGGTGCTTTGCCCTAGTTAAAAAAAAATGATAAAACTTTAAGTTTGGATATGTGAAGCGAACATTTTTNTTGCAATATACAAACCATTTTAGTTGGTAGTTAGGCCTATAAAGGTTAGACCTTCGGTGCTTTGCCCTAGTTAAAAAAAAAATGATAAAACTTTAAGTTTGGATATGTGAAGCGAACATTTTTATATTAATTTTATGTTAGTAATATATACACATGCTCATTTATGGTGTTTATAATAACTAATAGTCAGTACTTATTTGTACAGGAACTGGCAAACTTTTTACTGAAAAAGTACATTACTTAAAACCAATTAAGCTAAGCACCTGCAAATCCACCTTTTGTTCTCAATGTTTTGGCTTTAATAAACATTCCAACCTATCGATGAGGGTTTCTTGAAGTATAGATCAAAACGACCATTTCAAGCGGGATCTGATGGGCTAAAATGTTGTATGAAAATGCAATTTTACTATATAAGTCTTAACATTTATTTTCGTTCAAACATTTATTTAAGTTTTGGTTATCTTTCTAGGGTTAATCTTTAAATTTTCCGGATCCTACCACGAATGCCTATATGTTCCGAAACAGAATATCATGTCCGCGTTTCGCGAGTCCAGACCGATGATAACTCATGTAATATTAGAGCCCCCGCGCACTGCAGACTTTATCGGCCGCTGATTTAGTTGGGGCTCGCTCGAAAGGCATGAAGATGTATCGTGTTTTGTTCAGTTTTGCTCAGGATGAGTATCTTCACTGCAATCGAAACCAATTCGTTTGGTTTGTACTCAGCTGCATTTGAAACGTATCGTGTATTGTTAGTGCTCGGGACAGTGTGACAAAAGGAACACAAATTTTTTGTACTTGTTGTGGTTAGGTTTGTTTTCGTACTCTGGTTAGAGTTAATAATTTCTGTAGAATAAATAAAGAAATAACCCAAATAAATATACGTCTATATTTTAAGATGTTTGCTCCATGCAAAATTGGAAAACGAGCCGTCAACATTTTGTCACACTCAAAGTTATGTTTTTTACGCGTCTATATTTTGCAACCTCGCAGCAGAGTTGCATTATGGCAATAGCAATCAAATTTTTTAAATTTATTGGGGACGTTTTCCGTATTTGCATTTTATTTGGCAGCAATGGCTGATGAAAATAAACAAATCAAGGAAAAGAAAGAACAAATATTAGCAATTTATAATTAAGTTAAACAATTAAAATTTTCTCAGAACCGAAATCGAAAGGCGTCATATAAAAAATGGACGCAAGGAAGAAATGTCTGGCAGTAAAGTTTTGCGACGACTGCTAAAAAGGAGTGCTCACAATTTGATGTTAAAAATTTCTCAAAAATGTAGACGTCTACATTTTGAAACCCAATTTGGAATGAACTGTTAACACCCCAAAAGTGTTTAAGAGGAAGATTTGATGGGAAAATTATCAGAACAAAATTGGTGAAATGAAAATATGGACGAACAAGTTAAATTTACCGCCCAATTCTGTATTTTCTTGATGAATTATTTGTCAAGTCTAGGTTCAGACAGAGAAACTTTTGTCGCGGGCAACTCGTTACTTGTGGGAGAGGCAGTGACGAGGAAGGGGGAAAGGCCACCGACTTGCTCATTCTCGGGCAACACGCTTTGTGCTCTCGTTCGTCTGAGTAATTCAAGTTGGCCGTTCACAGCTGACAACAACAATTGTGTAAAAAAGAATTTCTCTGTGTGAACGCGAAGGGCAACACCAAAAGAGAAGTTGCCGAAAATGAGCAGCAAAAGTTTCTCTCAAAATTTTTTATCAAGTAAAGGCTCTCATTGCATTCGGTGTCAATATTTATAAAATAAAAAGCTCTACGATTTCCACATGAAGGGAACTGATTTCACATGTGAAAAATATGAATTTAAAAGCAAAAAAGCTTTGACTGCCAAAGCCGAGTAGGTAGAGATGTCGGATATAATTCTGTGTGTCGCAGGTTCAAATGCCGGTAAAAGCAGTATTCAAATGATCGAACAAAATTTTTTAAATCTACAAAATTTATAATTTTCATATGAAATCAATGGCATTTTCAATCTTGATAATTCAGCAAGAAAAGAGCTTTTAATTTCTGTGCTAGAATTCCAATTCTTGATTAATAATAAAAAAAATTTACAATTTATAAAAATTTTTAATTTATTAAGTAAACAGTATCGGGCTGTAAATGTATGTACACATTTTGATTTTTATGATGGTGGGAAAAAAGGAAAACTTAACCATCAGAAAGTGTCAAAATAAGTTGCAAGTTTTTACTAGTTTTGTGTTCAATAACTTTTTCTGCTAGTTTACTCTTCTTCTTAATTTTACACTACATTTTGCTTTTATGCTCTCGCTGCAATTTTTCACTGTAAAGGTTATTTATTATATGTACACACAGCCTTATCATGACTTTCATTTTCCCCCAACCGGTTAACTTTTCACTTTTGGTTTCCATGTATTTACTATGGGCGGATGAAAAATTTTCGGGGGAATTTCTTTTTCGGGCGAAACTCAGGATAAGGCAGACATTGTTTCCTAGCTGGAAGTTTGATGCCAAATGTAGAGTTGTTTCAACGACAAAAATAAATATAAATAAATAGAACCGCTCTCTTTACTAAGGAAATAAATCTTTACAGCAGCCACAAGCTGAAACTTTTACAATTGGATATTCCAGAAATTTTTTTTGTTACTTTTTATATATGTAACTAATGCTACGAGCTGTTTTGAGATAATCACCTTTGTAGAAGCAATTTCTCATTTTCGCGCGTATTAATTTAAACAGCTGAATGTTGTTTGTTAGCTTATCTACTATCACCGTAGTGTTTATAGGGACTAAATCCCTCCACAAAATATTTTTATTTACAATTATAAATACATAACACACTTCCACCCATACATAAGTCATCCAGAAGTTTACTGAATTACGTAGAATGTTGTGTCTGCCTGTGAGCAAAGATACACATAGGATTAAAATAAACCTTCTTAAGTCACTAATGCTAAGCGTATCTGCAACCCCACGACGCACAGTGGGCTGAAATTAGTCTGTAATGGAGTTGAGAAAAAAATGACTAGTTAATATTTAAAAAAGAATGATGGGCTTTTTCGTTTTCATACCTGACTATTTTTTCATAGACTCTTTAATTAAAAAGTTATGACCAATTACAAAAAAAAAAGTGCAGTACCCTGCAGGAAATGGGACTAGTTTGTAGCTAACTATTAACTAACTAGCATTCGACTAGTGGTAACTATTTACTAACTATTTCCTTTGGCAGTAACTAACTACTTTTGTAGGGCGAAGGCCGTAAAATAGTTATTCCTGGTTTCCTCTGCATTAGATGTTAACTAACTTGTAGCTAACTATTTTTGGACATAAGCTATCAATAAAAAAAGATTTTTTCTATTTTTTATATATTTTTGTTTTTAATTTTTTTTATTTAACAATACATAGTTGCTTATTTGGCTACATGTTCTTTTGTAGGTGGTGCCACATTTCAATTCCATCAGACATAACATCGAAATAATTTAAAATTTCGATCTCGGTTTTATTTGCCCTGAATTCGAAAAAGAATCTGAGAAGTGCAGAAAAAAAGTATATTGAGAGTATTTTTTGTAGGCGGATATTTAAATGGAAGCTTTTTATGCTAAGAAAAATTAATAGCAATTACTTAGTATGTATTCTTATAATAGTTAAGGTATTATTTTGAAAAAAAAAAAACATTTTAATCCACTTGTCACAGTGGTCTTGAAACAATGATAGGTATGACTAAAATGCCAACCAAAACTGCTTGCATACCTGTTTTGGAAGGCACCCATACACCAATATGCAGTTGGAATTAAAATCATATCTGCTCCTATGCCTAAAATATTGTCAAATGAAAATTTGGAAAAAATTTAACTGCAATTGTTAGTATTTCTTGTTCAACAGAGTATTCTAAAGTTATCGTTTTGTATATTAGTGTAAAAGAAAAATGATAATATTTCTGGTGTAAGCTATTTGATTGCACATCATGTCTTCTATAAGTCATCCGCAACATAAGTGTAATCACGAAGAGAACAGATTTAAAGTGTGCGCGCCTTGTGGGAGAAAGATTAAATTCGGATCGTCAAAACCTTCAGAATTTAATATAACCGGAAAATTGGTGTGTCTTATTAAAAAATACGTTAGTGAAAATTTTAGATTGACCAATTCGAAGTTCCCATTAGGCATTTGTGGTACATGTCGTAGGGTTCTCTGTGACCGAGATATGGATATACCAAATGCAACGCGGCCTCTTCCAAACATGCCTAACTATGAAGATTCGACAAAAGAAACAAGAACAAGTTCATGCTCTTGTTATATCTGGCTCACTGCTCGGGCAACCAGCCATCCAAAAGTTATACAAGGGAGAGCACATACCTTAAATGTATTGAGTGAAAAAAACTCCACCAATGGGTTGACTGCTTTGTCAGTTGGGTCAGAATTAAAAAAACATGTAAGTAAACTCGCTAAAGCCTTCCGAAGCACAGAAATGTCGGAAACATTAAAAATTCACGTGCTTCTAAATCATTTGGAACATAGTCTGCATTTTTTAGGCAACGACGGCTTCGGAATGTGGTCGGAGCAAGCTGGAGAATCCATTCATGGCGTATTTTTAAGATTTTGGCTCAATTATAAAGTTAATTCGATTGACGACCCTAAATATATAATCAATTAAAAAAAAAACTGTCGTTGAATTTTCATCAAAACACATATGAATTTATATAAAATAATATTTTATATTGACTTTGTAAATTTATAAAATTTATGCAATAAGAATTATTAAAATATGCAATTATGTAATATTATCTCTTGAATAACTAAGTTAAAATATTTTATGCTTATAACGTAAGAAAGTGTTATAATTATATTACCATAGACCTTCGCGATTATATAACTAGATTTGGAAAGTTCTAGATCAACATTTTATAATATTTTAAGCATAGGAGCAGATGGAATTTTATTTTCAACGAAATTTTGATCTATGATTATGTACAAAGACAGTTATGTAAGCCGTTTTGGTTGGCATTTTAGTCATAGCTATGGTTGCTTCAAGACCACTGTGTTGTGTGACATTGCTTATGACTACAATGCGAGACTTTATTTTCAGATGAAAGGTGTTCATGTCTACAGTACTCTCCTTTATTTATAAATAAATAAATTAGTTAAGTCGTCCCTATCCTCAGATACGGAGAGAGTCTCTGATTTATAACAAAGTATCTATGAAGTGACAAAACAAAATTAAGAGTGCTAATAAATAGTATACGAGAAAAAGGTATGTAAAATTTTGTTCTGGGGGGAAAAAATGTCATCGTAGAAAAGGGGGCACCCCCTTACTTTTTCATTTTTGGTATTTGTAATATCTAAACCAACTTTCAATTTTATATTGTAATCAATATTGAATCCTTTTGAAACTGACTAATATATTGACGATTTTTATAAAAAGCGCTGTTAATATTTTTTAACTTATTTAAATTTGAAATAGTCTCAGTGCGTGACTGAAATTTTTGCTGACGCGAGCGTGCGGGAGTTAGATTTCCTGTCAGTCACGGAATTTTCACATACATATGGGCATTTTTAACTAAAAATCAAGGGTAAGTCGTATCTTCTTTCAACTTATACTCTATTATACTAAAATTGGATGGATTAAAAACTGGCATACTGGCAAAGTATTTCTAAAAAAATCGAATTAAAAGCTCAACATTTTTACGAAAGTTTATTGATTTTTTTTTAAATATTGCACAAAGTTTGAAATTTGGATTTATGTGGTTTTGTTAAAGAATCTGCTATATTTTTATAAACAAATAATTAAAGTTGAAAAATATTAAGATAAATGGCCAAATCTTTTCAAAATGTAAGTGTCATAAAGTTATGATGAGCACTATGTAACTTAAATTTGTAACAAAAAAATTAATGCATCACTTCCTAGGCGTTTGGCCAAGCTTTTGTAACAATACTTGTGTGATAAAAGCCTCTTTTTTGTACAAATAAATTTGAAAAACTTGTCCGTGAGAAAGCGTGCGTGAGTGTGCGTGATTTATAAAATAGGCATCGTGAGCGTGCGTGAACGTGATTGAAAAATATATAACAGAACGTGAGTGATTTATAAAACTCACGCGCCCATCTCGAATGTGTACATACAATTTCAAATCAACTAGTTTAATCTCGGCGACAGTTAAAGCTATCTTAAAAAGTGCTATCTCTAAGTAAATACATTTGTATGTATGTATGACAACCGCGTTCTTCCGTTGTTAGTTGAATGCAAAATTCAATAGGAATAGACACATCTGCATCGTCCACCACTTCAGTTCACAGCGTAATAAAAAGCGTGCCCATTCCTGCTACTTCCCTTCTTCAACAAAATGGCCACCACAGTTGAGTTGAACAGTGAAGCTTTGCATAATCTCTGCCAGCGCTATCACGAACAGAATAGTCAATCCACTCAATCACGCACACTTGACGTCCTCAGCTACGAGCATTCGGCCAATACAGACACTGTAACGGGCTTCTTTGGTCGGCACCAGATTCTTACACTCAAAGTACGTCGCACTGATGCTGATGGCAGAGAGCATTTCGAAGAAATACGCTTCTTCACCAAGTCGCCGCCACTAGAAATGGCCTCTCGCATGGAGTACATAGAGGAGTTTGGTCTTTTCAAAAAGGAGGTACGCATATTCCGCGAAGTGCTGCCCGAGTTTCAAAAAATCTTTCCAAATGTGGCACCGAAATGCTACTTCGCCGACGAGCGACTGCTTATCTTCGAACATCTGGCCGATCAGGAATTCCGCATGGCCGCTGGACGTGATGGCCTACTGGATTATAAGCACCTTCAGTGCGCACTGAAATCTCTGGCCGCATTGCATGCCAGTTCGATTGTTTACGAGGCACGCTGTGGCCGCAAGCTGAACGAGTTACATCCGGGGGCGGTGGTGGAGATCGCTTACCCCTTGGACATTCCGCAGCACCATGTGCGGAAGCAGAACTTCAATAATGCGAATCGTGTATTTCTGGAACTGATAAAATTGCTGCCTAAATACCAGCAAAAAAGGGAGTACATATTACGTGAATTCCCGAAGCGCATGGCTGCAATTTTCGAGTTAATTCAGACGTCCAAAAAATATCTGAATGTGCTTTGTCACGGTGATTTATGGGCCAACAATATGATGTTCCAGTATGGCAAATGTGGTGAGTCGTCTCCCTTACAAAGTCGTTTGGTGGACTTCCAACTCTCGCGCTATGCACCGCCTATGGTGGACTTAATGACGGCGCTAACCATACCGACGAGCAGCAGTTTCCGTAGGGAGCATCTATCTGAATTACTTTGTGATTACTATCGCTTTATGACTGAGTTCTTAAAGCAGAATCAATTGAATATTGACGACTTCTTGCCGCGCGAGGAATTTTACGAGACTGCAGAGAAGTTCCGAATTGTTGGACTGATCGAGAGCTTACTTTTCTCACATTTGACTGATTTACCACCGGAATCAACCGAGTCTTTAACCTCGTCAGCGGATGGTTTTAGCGACTTTTTCGACGCCAAGCGGGTGGAAATATGCTCGGAAGCTTTTCGTTGCGATGATATTTATAGAGATAGGCTAACAGATATGCTAGAAGATTTCATAGATAACTTTGTATTGAATATTAAATTTTAACAAAAGCTTTGGCAGATTCTACGTTTATACTTTTTACTAATACTTGTTTTTTTATATTCGTAAATTTGTATTTGCATGAATTTGTAATGTAAATACTATTAACTACATACAATAAGGTATGGAGTAGAAAAACGCGAATATAAAGCAAATATTATCAGAAAACTCTTCCTCGTGAGCAAACGCCTTGGATTTTCTTCATTTACTTTATTGTTTAGTAGTTAGAGGTGCTTAATGATAACCCTTTAGGTATGTACGAAACCCTTCACACCGGGAGGCGCATGCAATCCATGGTTCAATTCACATTTGGGATAGTTCTTACCCTTCCGGTAAGCACAATCGGGTGGGTCGAAAATCTTATTTTCCTTAAATATTTTTGTAGTAGTGAAAAGATGTAGTTTTATGTTGACAATTGCAAGCTATGCGCAGCTATTACCGTTGCGCACGGAAACTCTGAGCGGAAGTGGATTGTTTTGCAAAGCTCCCATTAGCTAGTTGATGTGGGTACTCTGTACACCCTTAAATGGCTCATCTTAGAGCTGGGATACTATCGATAGTACTATCACACATGCAAATTCGTGGCCGCATTTTAGACAAAAATTATTTTATGTATTTAGCATTTTCAATTTAACTTTGTGAAGACTGTTATCTAACGGTCACGCTTAATGCCAACCTCGTATGTCTTAGGGCCGTTTTCTCAAGTAACCTGTAGCTTTAAAGCTCACTTTATATTTAAAGGCTGCATAAAAATTTTAGATTGTGTGTAAAGGAAAGCACTTTATTATCGGTTTTAAATTGGTTTACAACCAAGAAACATACATACGTCAAAAACTGATAATAGAAATGCTTAACTTTAGGCATAGCTTTATTTTTAAACTAACCTTTAAGTATAAAGTGAGCTATAAAGTTAAAAGTTACTTCAGAAAATGGCCCTTAATCTGTCAGTGTGCCATCAAAATAAGGGAAACTTATAAGCCATTCAAAGCAAAGACCTATTCAGACAATATTGGTTATATTTTCAAGATTTTGAAAGGCACACAACTGTAAAGGGTATTATTTTGTTCTTTAATGTGTAACTAAGGGTCCATTTCATAATGAAACACTTAAAGGTCCTTTTGCAAAAGTTTCGTTTTAGTTAAAGTGTCATTTAGATGTACTTTAAACAAGAAGTATTTTCATAATACAATGGCAATTGAATAATAATAACAAAAGGTTCATTTAAATGTAAATAACAAAGCTGGCAATGCTGATCTCGGCAAAATTGCATCAGCTGAGTGTTATAAATCTGCAATTATATTACGAAAATTACATTTTTTTTCTTACGAAGGGGACCTTTATGTCATTTAAATTTTCATTTTGGGTATTTAACTAAAGAGCCTTTATGGGCACCTTTATCTTTAAAGTGGCTTTATGAAATCGATCAGCAAAATAAAGCATCCTTTAAATTTTAAAATATTCTTTAACTTTATTTTGAAATCGGCCCTAATATGTACATATGTATATGTATAAACGAATGAGAAGAATTTAGTTATCGTTGAAAGTGCAAAATGAAAAAGGACTTAAGATATTACCTTTTTGATAATTACGTTTTCCAATATTGCATTTACTATTTGCCATGATTTTTGAATGCCTCCGTTTTGCGCTGTAAAAGTTCTACTCAACTCAAAACCGTACAAAAGGTACCAAAAGTGACACGTCAAAATTGTTATTTTAATCACTTTAATAATTTATAAAAATTAAAATGGCATTATTAAAATAAAAAATAAAATAAATAAGTTACAAGAACTCTTCACATTT